GTAAGCTGATTTCATGTTGGTTGGCAAAAAGTCATTGGGAGGCTTGTGTAGAACACATGGAATTTTTCTTAAACCAAGAGTAAAGAAAGAAGGTGGTAGCTAAGCCAAGTGCTTCTGTGTTTTGTAAAGCAGAGAACAATGATCTGAGGGTTGAGGTTTCTTATTTTCCCTGAGAAGACAGAAGCAAAGCTAAGAAAAAGAAAAGCAAAGACAAAAGGCCAGCAGAAGTTGACTTTCTGATGCTCAGATCCAGGCAGAGGAAAGGTGAAGGGGACCAAGCCAATAGAAGGAGACCTGAGCCTGGCTGCCTGAAGACTTCAAACTGCAGTCAACAGTCAAGGTTTTGTTTGGTTAGAATGTGAGGCAGCTAACTGCCCACAATCACAGAGGGAAGAAAGCCGGGCTGAGAACTTGCTTAAGTAGGATGATGGGACATGGAGCGAAGCCACTGAAACTACCAGCCTCAGCCTTCTCATCTGTAATCCGGACAGGAGGGAGTCACTGAGACCCCTCTCAATGCTGATATTTTGTCTTGTAGAGAAATAGCACACAGCACTGGTATTTCTTTTAACATTTACTTTCTAGATCATATATTATTTAACATTTAAAGAAATAGATCATATGGTACCTACTAATCATGTGATTGTTTTAAAAAGGTATATTCAATTGTGGAAGTTTGTGTGTAGATGTTTGTATACAATATGAATCAGTCGTGAATCTTGTTTAAAACACTAGTCATAGCTGACAGATTTAGTGGCACAAGGTATTAGGAAAATGTAGCCAACATATTTCAGTGATTAAAATAATTTCATGGGATACTGTTGAATAAGTAGTACCTGGAATATTCATATTCTCTCTCTCTCTCCATCTCCCTCTTTCATGCACACACATAGACTACAAAGAATGTATAATAAAATATTGCTACAAAAATTTTTATAACTTCCCTCCCTTTTTTTTTTCTTAGAAAAAGTAAATATTCATTCTACTCCAGCCAATAACACATTCTTGAGGAAAAACAGATGAAGGAAAGAACAAGCCTAACATTAACTGAGAGAAAATATCAGAAAAGAAAAGATCATATGCTTGGATCATATCCTCTATCCATCTGGCCCCAACTTCCTGTGTACTATGTCTAGTAGGTATTTGCTGAGGTGAATAACAAGGAAACAATGACACTACTAATACATTCAGAAGAGAAGCTCCTGCCAAAACAATAGTTTAACTGTTCTGACCAAAGAAGGATTAATTTATTATTCTAGTTGGACAGCAAGGACCAAGAGCGTTAGATTGGCTCATCTATTTTAGGTACAGTTTCTGAGAAGGAAAGCTAAAATATACTGTGCAGAGTAGTAGGAAGCAGATTATTCTGTAGATTTATTTTTCTTTCTTTCTAACCATAAAAACCAGATATGGAAATAGAATAAAGCAGAAATTCTCACTTCACAAACTCAATGACTGAATACCTTACACTTGATCTTAGCCAAAAGGCCAAGAAGTGATACTAAATACCTTAAAATGTTGAAGAATATATGTATATTGTCTCTACTGTATTATAATTACAAGAAATTAAAGCACTTTACCTATAATAAAAATTGATAAAAGCATTATCCCAACAAATTAGTGTGAGCTATGTGGCAGAGTATGCTAAGCATTCTTCTATATATATTTACCCTCCTTATTAAGAAATGAAGCCTATAATATTTAGATAGGCACAAGATCATCAAGAATAAAAGTTATAACTCCTAGATTTCTTTGCAACAAATGTGGGCTCCACAAAGTTTTGATCAATGCAACGTAAGCAGAAGTACTGTGGACAACTTTTGATATATGTCCTTAAAAGAAAGCATAATTCTTCTTCATTTTCTCCCTTTTCTTCCTTTTTGGCAAGAGCATGAGAGTAGTGGTTGGATCTTAGCAACAATTTTTGAGTCATGTTAAAATCTTAAGTACAGTAGCTATCCAGGATGAAGAAACAAGAGCTGTGGGTCCTTTCTTTAGGAAGCACATACCTAGTTCTTTGCTATTTCCAGAATTTTAAAATACACAGAGAAGTAGACCTTTATCTTATTTAAACCACTGTATTTTTTTTCTCACTTGTAGGTAAAACGAATCCTGACATACACTGACGAGGTTGTCTGCCAAAGGAACTTCTTTGAGAAGAACTACGTAGATTACTGTTTTCTTCAAACTATTTCTTAATACCTTTGTAAAAGAAAAGGGAATGGAAAATTATTTAATGTTTTCAGTAGAAGGAAAAAACTGAACACAAACTCTGAAGTTAAGAATTGACACTGGCAAATCCAAATTAGATTAACTTTCAGTTTTGGACTTCCTCCCTTCTTTTCTACTTTGCATTATTTTACTTTCTTTACCTCTCAATTTCAGTCAAAGTATATTCACATTCTTTCAGGATTTCATTTTTTGAATGTTTAGTATTTAATGTGAAACTGTTTTCTTTATATATGAGTACAAACTTAAGAGAAGATGATTAATTTTTCATCTGACACCAGAATTTTTTATGAATGCCAATATTTAAGAAGGGTTGTAGGTTGGCATGGTGGTGCATGCCTGTAACCCAAGGATTCTAGGAGGTTAAGGTAGGAGGATTGCAAGTTAGAGCCCCACCTGTGTGACACAAGGACTTAAAAGGACTCTGTCTTAGAATTTTTAAAAATGAAATTAAAAATATGCTGAGGATGTAGCTCAGAGTGAAGATCTTGGGTAGAATCCCCAGCAGCACATGCAAAAAAAAAAATTATTCATTTGCTATAAATGGTATTTTTTTTCTGAGCTCTGAATAAAGAAGTAAAACTTTTCCAGGCAGGAAGAGAAATGTTATCTAGGAAATTAGATTTTGTTAAATAATTATGCACCCTCTTTTGAGAATTCTTTACAAATAGATACACTCTAATATTTATACCTCTGCTTTCTTTCTGAATTGCACACTCTGAAGTTCTGTACATGAGAAATGATTTCCTCTTTGTTCTGCTTTTGGGCAAAACATGCTTAAGTTATAGACTTATTGATCACATGTATTTAATTATACCTTGTAGACCTTTTAACATAATTTCTATGCAGAAAAAGATCATGCTTAAATTGAAATACTTTTTAAAAACCCAGATGTTTAAAGTTTCTAAATTTTAGAGGATCAATTATTTGTATTTTTTCCTATTTAATTCAGCTATCCTTGAGAGAAAGCAGATGCTACATTGGACTAAAATGCCAAGTCAAAATATTTGAATTGAAATAAGCAATAACATTTCTATGAGTTGCTTATTTAAAAAAATTCAGAAATAATCAGTGAGTATTTTCTTTAAAACTTAATCCACCAGAATATCTTTATAGGGATCCATATTTGGGGGGCACCATCGTTTTTAAAATGAAGAATAAAACAAAGGTCTGTTTATTCTTGGCAAGATTCCTTTCTAATTTGAAAAAATTGAAAAAAGCAATTGTGGCTTTTATTTGCTTCTCAAATTAAAAGAGTCATAATGGTTTTCCTTGGCTTTGCCTTTTGTACAGTTTAGCTGGTTCTAATGAAGACAAATACCATTCGATCAAGAGTGTCCCATTCATTAAATGAGACAGATGGAAACCTTGCTATATTTTGTTAGATTCAGCCTTCTGAAGCTGGCTGCCTCCTTTATTGAGGACTGTAGGAATATCAGGCCTTATATTTTCTGGAAGAAATAAAATATTTTTCTAGAGCAAAATGTCATGTTGCTTTTAAAACAAGGTGTCAAGTTGTCTTCAGAACAAATGAACCTATGTTTTGTTCTAAGGGCATATCTTCTCACACACTCATTTATCGGTTTCCTAACAGATATTTGAGAGTTCTTTTATATAGACCTTTCCAAACATGACATTTTCTCTCTCCTGGGCATTCTCTAACTCTCTCTGTAACTCTCCTGCTTAACTATTTTTGGCCTTGAAACATGTCTGGACGCTCCAATAAATAAGAGGCAGCTTCCAGTGTGTCTCACAATATTAGCAGAAGACCCTTAGAAAAAGATGTTACTCTATCAATACAGAAGGTAGAACTTGGGGAAAAGTTGGCCAAAGTTCACAAGACTCAAGAATAAGGTGGCTCAAAGAGGGAAAAACATTGGTTTTACATTTTCTCTTCCATGTTCTATTTGCACCAAGCACCAAAGGGCAAAGGATTCCCTCCTTTATGCTCTAACTTGGCCACTTGTGAAGACCACTCTTGAGGCTCCTTAAGATGGTAAGGTTCTGGTGACACAGCTTTACTCAGATCAGGCACACAACTCCATATGGAGAAGCCATGTGGCCAGAACACACAGAGAGTGAATACATCCTTGATGAAAACCCTACTGCTATGCACAGTGCAGAGTGGATTCCCTCAAATAGGAGGCAAAAGTAAGAACTGGAAACCTTCATTCCTGAGCAGCAGTAGGCATGAGAGTTCTGTGTTGGAACTGTCCAGATTAAAAGGTAAATGCCAGCTGGTCTTGCAGAACTCTGCACTTATCTTTATCCAGTCTTTTCCCAGGCAAGCAGAGCCTCTGAAGAGTAGATAGAGAAATGAGAGGCAGCGGGAAGAGAGAAGGAGAGGAGGTAGGAGACTGAGCACTTGATTCTGAAAAGTGGCAAATTTTCCAGTAGTTTAGAAAACTCATTATATATTGCCAGGGTCAGAAACTGAAAAATTTCATTATTTAAGTGAGGAAAGATTAAAAATAAAAACACATGTTATAGTAAGTAGTTGCCAATAGTGAATATTCACCAAACAATCACTAAGCCAAAAGTCTATTTTGGTATTATTTTGTGAAATGTGTGTATGTAATGAAAAGACAGCTTTAAATATTTAAATATTAATTTTAACCTTGTGTCTTACTGTCTACAACTGTAAATTTTATTAGCTTATAAAATAATAATTTGCATGAGTTTTAGAAGTAAAGTTATTTATAATTAAAAATGCAATTTTTCATTTTCATTATTTCACATGGTTTAAAATTGGGCAATTTTCCCACTATTTTTTAGGACACAGAAGAGTTTGTTGTTCTTGATAGCTTTGCGTGGAGCTTGAATGAGTCACTGGAGCTCCAGACTAGACCCAATTTAGTGCCTTGATAGTACTGATAGCAATTGCCTTTGCCAATTGTGGAGTGTCTCACACTTTACAGACTTCTTAAAGTCTGACATCACATCCTCACTTTGTCTCTGGGAGATAGAGATAGTAGTTCTTCATAGATGAGGAAGACAGCCAAGACATCAAACATGGTCCAACATCAAGGTAGACTGGGACCCAAGCTTCAGTTTTGGCCCTGTCCCCATTTTTCCCCTTGACCATAGCTCTTAGCCCCCCATATAAAAGCAGGGCTCTGGACCAGTGCACTGAAGTGCCAGGGCTTCAGTCCCTCGACTACAGAATGGCAGCTTGGATTTCACCATTCTCAGCTTGCTGCTGCCTCTTCATTTTAATCTCATTTTACTCAGTAGGATGAAGAATGGCAGGAGTAACTGGGTATCATTTGACAGAGGGACACAGCCCAGAGACCAGTGAGTAACGACTCAGGAGAAAGTCCACTGTGGTTGTTAGGAACTTGGAAGAACAGGGAAAACTTTGTGATACTAAGTTTTCATTTTGCAGTCCCATGAAGTCCACAGACTCCAGAAGGAAAGAAGGAAAAAGAAATCTACACATATACAAATACTTGCAGCAACTTCAGGCCATTTATAGATTATTTGGAGAGGCATGGAGCAAGTTAACAATCCGCATACTAGATAGTGCACATTTGCAAAACTTTATCACCTATAGGAAGCTGCACTCTGTTTGGCATACAAAGTGAACAAAACTTACTTTCACATAGGAAACAATAATTAAGGGATGCAGAAAAGAGTGATGTGAAAAAAACACATGTACATTATGCTGAGAAGAGACAAAATCAATGATAAAACAGCACATTGGTTGTCTAGAGAATGTTAATTAGAAAAGAGGGCATGATGAAGTTTTCTTAAAGTGATGGAAATGTTCTGTATTTTGATTGAGACATTGATTATATGAGTGTCTACATATTTCCAAATCAATCAGGTTCTATCCTTGACATTTGTGCATTTTACCCTTTGCAAATTTTATGTCATTAAAAAAAAAACAATTACAATGTGTTCTCAAGACAGTCCTTTTTCCCCCCAGCATAATTGGGTAGGAGTAAGAGAAAGAAAAGTTGGTGTAGCTCAGATGCAAATGTTTTCTTCAGAAGTGTTTACATAGAACTCAAAAGTGTTTTAATGCTCCCTTAGAATATCCACAGACAGTCTCTGATTGCAGATAAATGGCTGTGATATTTGTCCCATAGCCTATGAGCTGTATCTTCTGGTCTGACATCAATGTTAGGAGTGGGATAAAGAGTAGAAAGTGTGGATCTCAGAGATGCGGATATTCCCCTCAAAGAAGAAAAGAGTTCCACTAATCATTTTACTCTTTCCCACACATATTTTTTTTTTCAAAATACAAGAAGAACAGGTTGTCATGCACAGCTCTGAAACTTTATGCTGCTGTGATGCTGTTCTGGGTTTTGAGAAAGTAGGAATGAAGGGGGACTCCGTGATTTTGTCTTGTGGTGGAAACACTTTTCCACAGTCCATATGAAAGCTGCACCCATGATTTGTATCATGTATCAACTGTCAAGAGGTCTACCTCTGTCTGGTGACCACAGGCGATCCATCTGGCGTAGTTTAAGTTCAGCAGTCAGCAGCAGACTTCATACTTCCGACAACACACATACTTATATACCTCTTCGAAATGACTAGGTTTTCACAGACTCTTTTTTTTTTTCATTTTGCATGCCTCACATTAAATATTGTTAAAAAAATTAAAAACCATTTTTTAATAATTTACAATTTTTTATATAAGAAGAAAATGACTAAAAAAATACCCACCCAAGCACCTAGAACACATCTAGCAAACAATGCTAATAACACATGGGCTGTGAGCTAAGGGCTCCGCGGTCCGTGGGAAAGCAGGGAGGCAGAGTCTATTCTCAGGAAGGAAGGTGACGCACGTCGGATCCACCAAGTGCTGGCTGTCTGTGGTGCTTTGCCCCTTAAGTCAAGTTCAGCAGCCGCATTTCTGAGTCAATATCATTACTTATTTCGACCTAAAAAAGAAAATATGAATTGCTTTAAGAAACTTCAGCATTGACAACAACAATCCTTTCTATTTATACAGATCTTTTGAAAGCTGAAACAGCTCCTGGGTGAGCCTGGTCCTGTTTGACTAGAGCTGAGAGCCAGGAACCTGGGCTTTCTCACATTTTGATAAAGAGTGTGGCAATAAGGCTTCCATGTGTAGAATTCATTTGCTGGGAGGGAAGGGCCCTCCTCACAGCAATTGTGGGGTAATGTGTTTGCCTCAGAGGTAAAGATGACAGAGGATATTGTGTCTCTAGATTACCAGCTACATCCCTCGCCTAACCTTACTCCAGCATCCTCTTGGCTAACACTTTTTGAGTAGTCTGGCTTTCATGCCACTTAACTGCCCACCTGTATCCCTTATATACTCATACATTCCTTCCAGTGATGGTTAACTTTATGTATCAATTTGGCTAGGGTACAGTCAGATAATTGCTTAAATGTCTCTGTGAATGTATTATTTAAATGAAATTAGCATTTAAATTGTAGATGTTGAGTAAAGCAGATTTTCCTCCACATTGGGGCTCATTCAATCAGTTGAAGGCTTTAAGAGACAATGATTGAAGTTCTTGTGAAAGGAAAAATTATTGCTCCAGACTACCTCTGGACTCAAGCTGCAACACCAACATTTTCCTGGATGTCTAGTCTGCTGGCCTGACACGTAGATTTTGGACTTGTCAATTCTGTAATTGCAAGGGTCAGTTCTCTCCCTTCCTCCTCCTCTTCCTCCTCCTCCTTCTCTCTCTCTCTCTCTCTCTCTCTCTCTCTCACACACACACACACACACACACACACGCACACACCCACAAACCCACACATCTTTCTGGTTCTATTTCTTTGGAGAAGCCTAATATACATTTCCTGTTCAACAACTCTTGTCTCCACACTTTTGATGGAGACTCTACATATTCCTTATTTATGCTAAACATTCAGCCATTGGAATATGAAGGCACTGAATTATGCATCCTTGTGCAAAATCAACCTCAACATAGTACCTGCCACTTAGGTGCTGCTCCACATAATAAATACTTGTTAAATACTTTGGATAGCATCATTTCATGTGAAGTCTTAGCTGATCCAAATCCCATTCAGCTGAGAAGATTTACTCCTCTCCTCTGTGAAGACTTTCACATAGTAGTCAGCCATATTAGTTTCTTACCCTGCTACAAACAACCTTCATTTTCATCCGCGGTCCCTGTGTACAGCTAACGGCATATAGCTTCCAACTAATTGTGCTTTAATTGTTTCAGTCAGCCAAGTTATTTTTCTCATTCTAACTAAATTATATGCATCACACCAGAAATGACAGTCTTACATTTATACTGTTTAACGCCTTCTAAATTTTTTTCTTCCACTCAGTTCAAAGATTCTGTCATCTGGAATGGACTTTTTAGTCATAATTTGAAATAGTTGGAAAGTCCCAATTTTGGGATTTAATTTGCTGTAGCCATTCTTCTGACTGTACATCGTGTTTTCCCCTGTACTCCTTGGAAGTCAGAGGCCACCAGGACTCTCCCATCTCCCCAGTACATTTCTCCTGCTCTTCTCTTTCTCTGTGTTCTAAAGGAGAAGCCCATGTGTACCCCTTTTACTCCTTTGTATTTCAAAAGGATTTAAATAGAAAGATAAAGGTATATGATTATAATGATGGAGTTTTATAATTTATACAACCTCTGAGTTAGAAGAGAGCTTTCCTATCTTGAAGTTCATTTATTTATCCATCACATGAATCCCTTTTACAGAAAGGAAAAGTAATAGGGAAGTCTGTTTTTTGTTTGTTTCTTTATTTGTTAGTGCAGAATTAGTGGAGCTTGGGGAAAACTTCAAGATATGTATCAGCTGTACTTCTAGCTAATATTTTTGTTTCTGGGTTTAAGAACTTGAATTAGAAAATTAGTATTTCTCTGATCTCAGGTCAAAATTCTGGAAGTGCAAGGTTTTGTATTACACAGAAAGGTAACTTTGAGGAGAGGCCTTGAAGGAAAGCCCATTGGCAACCCTGTGTTAGGTTTATTAGCTGACTGGTTTTTAAAAATTGTGCACAGAAATAGAGAAAGATAATACATCTTTATGATTGTCATTCAGCTTTAGCTAAAATAAACATGCTATTAAAGTTTCATCTATACACTGCTACTTTTTTTTTAGAGAAGGTATTTAAAATCAAATGTCAAACATTATCTCATTTCAGTCACATCTTTATGCATCTGTAATTCAGGGATTCTTTTTTTTTTTTTTAATACTAGAGAGTGAAGCTAGGGTCTTTGCACTGATCTGCATTCCCAACATTTCTTTTTTCTTTTTCTTTTTTTTTTAACTTTTTATATTTGAGACAAGGTCTTAAGTAGCTAAATGTTAGAGGCTGAGTTTGACTTGTGATCCTACTGCTTCAGCCTCCCAGAGTGCTGGGATTATAGCATGTTCAACCACACCTGGCAAACTGGAGGATTCTTAATCAGAGAAAATTTGCCAGAATGGAGATGGTTTCCGCATTACAGTTTCATAGAGAGTGGTACTACCGGCACCTATTAGGGAGAGGCCAAGGGTCCCGCTAAATATTCCAACAGTGGAACCAGCCAGTTATAAGGAAGTATCTGGCCCAGAGTCAACCCTGCAGAGCTGGAAAGAGTCTGATCAACAGGGAAGAATTAAATAGCTAATTAATTTGTCAGTATCATTTAATATCTAGTTCATGTGCACATTTCTCCAAGTATCTGGAAACTTATGATTGGCTTATTGTCAGAATGCAATAAGCTTTACAGTGTATTTGACTACTGTGAGATGTGATCTAAAAATATAGTGAATCTTTAAATTAAAAAATTTACTACAGTAAAAAAGACATTGCCATTAATCACCCTTAAAACACCCCCGTCATTTCAGACACACTTATTTCATCATTCTGAAATACTGTAATTCTGCAAGCCCCTTTTCATGTCTTTAGATGTTCTTTGGTGACTGCCTTAATGTCTTAAACTGATTCAAAACATTTACTTTCACAGTCATTTTGATTTAAGGGAAGAACCAGAAGTCTCACATTGCAGGATCTGTGAATAAGGTAGATGAGGACACTTTGTAATGTTTTTATTTGGCAGAAGTTTCTGTAAATGTTTTGAATCAATTCAGCACATTAAAGCAGGCACAGAAAGACATTCATAGGAGAGAATTTCCAGAACTGCTTTAGAAACAATTAAATGAGTGTGTTAAAAGTGAGGGAAAGTATTGTGAGGGGGAGTAATGACAATGTATTTTTTACTGTAACACATTTGTTTCATTTAAGCATTCACAGCATATTTTGATCACCCCATCCCCTTGTTCCTGTGGCTCAAACTGAGGACCTCATGCATGCTAGGGAAGTATGCATCCACTGAACTACACCCCCAGCATCTAAAATTTTTTAGTTAATAACAGTCTACTTTGTTAACAATTGTCCATATCATTTACATTCTGTATATGCTGATTGCTTTCTTGTGATGAGCTTTAACTTATTGGGTTACTCTTGCGTCTTCTACACTACTCCTCCAAGAGTGGGGTTACCTTTATAGCGGGGTACTTGGCAGACAGGGCTGCGTACTTCCTCTTAGAACGTCTGGGGACACATAATGAATGTCTAGTTATCCCACTTTTAATGGTGCTATCAGCGGCACTGGGAAGAATAGTTGGAGATTTAGGATCCTTAAAGTCATAGCTGCTTTTCTTTTTAATCGATGCTATGAGATATTTTAGTAGTTGCCTAAGAATATTTGCCCTGAAGGCAGAATGAAATCAAGCAATAAGATAGTGATGTCATTACAGAGGATATCTTTTGATAGGCTTTCTGGGTGGACTTGCATGTGTGGATTTGTTTTTGGTTTTCTGACTTTCTCTGTGTTTTGAGTTGTGTGTGTGTGTGTGTGTGTGTGTGTGTGTGTATGTGTGTGTCTCTGTTTTTTATGTGTTCTTTCCTCTGTCTTATTTCTTCCAGGAGCCTCACATAATGTAGCTTAATAAATATTTTTGATGTAAATATAAAATGAGAAATGACATGTATCGAGTGTAAAATGTATTTAATGTTTCTTATCTTTAATTTTAAAGTCAGAGGGTATTTTCTCTTGGAAATAGGAAACTGAAGTTGTTTTGTCTGCTGTTGATTAACACTGGAAGTGGTGATGCATTGCATCTCCACATAATTGCATAAATCTAATTTTTTTCTTGCTATTGGCATCAATGACAAATAGTGAGAGAAGTCCTAGGAGCTCTGGAAACATTAGGAACTGCCCTTCTCCCTGGTGGGTCCATTCAGATGCCCACCATTCAGATATCGGCTGCTCCACCTTAGAAGTGGATAAATGTGTTTCACAGGGTAGCATGAGAACTAGACTGCATTCTCTTGCGATCTTACGAGCAGATAGTGAGGTCACATGTCAAATAAGTAATCTCTGTGTCTCTAATGAGAATAAGGAGATTGCGAGGCCTCCAGTCTTGGAACTCAAATCAGACTCCTTTGCTTCTGCACTTAGTTGCATCATTTCTTCCTAACAAGGACAGAGATGCACGAACTATTAAAGTGATGAGTAAGCAACATACACAGTCGTTTCACTGCTGCACGGCCAAATGGTCGCGCATTAACATATGCTTTTACAGTAGTTTCAAGAGTGATGTAATTCTTCTGGTAGATTAAAAGTTACTAATGCTAGTGAAAAAGAAAGGGAGAGCAATGAGCCCTAATGTAGCTAACGTTGTGCTAAGTAAGGCAGGAAATCCATCTTTCCTTTGGGACAACTGAGACAGCACTGAGTGCATTGTAGTTGTAGTGCCCCTGGGACAGCTCTGGAGAGTTAGTACCTCCGTAAGTGCCTTCTATTTCCAGGGACTGATGATGGCAGTTGGGGAATGGAACTCCATGCTCAGTAATGGAAACAGTGAGTCAGATATCACTGCGAGCAGATCCCAGTTACGCTATTCTACAAGCCACATGGGACAGACAGCAAGC